GAGGGAAAGCTGACTTACAGGGCGAGGACTCCCTAGCCAAGGGGGTACGAACTATTGTAAAGAATCAGTGGGGTACCACATCGGCAGCGCAGCCCAAAAACCTCGACGGAAGCAGCCAGGATGATAGTCCCCAAGCCGTCAGCACTTGACTGAACATACCCAGGTATTCATCTCCTCCTCTAACTCCTCAGCTCACTCCGCGGGTGGCGAACCCGCCGCAGACTCTGTAGTAGCCAGTTTGCGGTAGCGTACTGGCAAAGACGATGACCCTTCCAAGTTGAGAACAAGCGGCACAGGTGAGGTCTGGTCTTGTTTGACCTGGTGTTTCTTGTTTCTCTTCCTCTTCTCACCCCCAGGTGCAGGGCTAGCAACAGGAGTAGACGGGCTACCCTCATCACTACCTACTACCACAGGGGGGACACCACTAAAGGCGTTACCCTGACCAGCCACGGGCTCAGCCACAGAGGACTCAGGCACCTTCCCCCCCAAAGGGGGTGATACTACCGCGGCTGGTGTCACCACACCAGGATCCACCCCACCCACACTAGGAGCAAGCGCCTCAAGCGGATCTGACGAATCAGGAACCAGTCCACCCATACCACTATGCACAACTGAAGCTGCAGGAGGGGCCGTGATAACCGGCGATGCAACATTCCCCCAAGGGAGCTCCTCCGCTGGATCCTGAGAATTTTCAGGGTCTAGCCCATCCCCCTTAACCGAGACCACCATAGTAACCGAAGTGACCGAGGGGACAGTCGAAGAGGAGATAACTGTAGGAGCTTCAGCTGCCATAATCATGACCAAACTGCGAACTGTATCGTGTTCAGAGGCCAGAGCAGCCAACAAGGTAGATATCTCCTTCTCAGTGCAATGAAATCGCCGAGAAAGGACAGAGATGTGATGCCGAAGGTGCGAGACTTCGGCCTCTAGGGCGAAGTTCTTCTCGATGGCACGAGACAGAACCATCGACGAACGTAGAGCGGACATGGCGGAGGGGGTAGAAGCTCACTTAGCCATTGCGACCGTAAGGAGGTGACCGTAGTGAACAACCGAAAGGATAAGTAAAAGGAAGAAAGGACTTCCAGCAAATATAGAAGAAGGTATAACGATGAAGCCCCTGAAAGGTGTTCGAAGTTAAAGACTTAAAGCCTATCGTGAGATAGAAATCAAAGGCTCTACTTGGATCGTCACCGAACTTTCACATCCGATACAGGGTGAAAGAAGAAGGAAAAGTACTTAGAACAAAGCATGAAGAACCTATCCTCCTTGGCCGCATCAGCCTCCTTATATAGTATTCTTCCCACCCACAGTCATGTGACCCAAAGTGGTCACATGTGCGAAACCAAATCATAATAAACTAATCATATGACCAAGATTGTCACATGCTCAAAACCCATGACATCATAGCGAGGTCATGTGCAAAAACCCATAAACCAATCATAACACAATAAACAAGTCATATGACTCGACTAAGTCATATGTGTGAAACCCTTGACCTCATAATGAGGTCATCTGTGAAACATAAATCATATGCACAAGGCATACCTGCAAGCCCCACTCGCAAGGCACACTCACCAGGTGCACGTTCCATTACTCATATTTGAGCCATGTGTAAAAGCATTACAAATCCTACACATAACAAATCATATGACTTGAATGAGTCATATGTATAAAATAATAACATACCTGTGACTCATAACTATGTGTCATGTGAAAACCTTTTCCTCGCCAAGCCACATTCGTGACACACAGGCATATTATACAATTATGGTAGTATTTGTCAATTTCAAAGCTGAGATGCTCTTCCTGCAGCACCACACATTGAGCAAGTCAAATAATACCCTCTTAGTCCAGTTCTTGCAAAAGAATCATCTTCTTTAGCCCGTCAGCATTTAGAACAAGTTCTCATTGATAATAAAAATGGTAGGTTATAGCAGAAAAAACAGAAAGAATTATATATTGTTGAATAAAAATGGTTGTAGAAGGAATGTGTTAGGCGGAGACAACCTAATAGACTTCAGAGTTGTCTAGGCCGATCGAGATTCGTTTTTATAGACGGAGATTGTCTAGGAAGGCTCGGACTTCACTCGTTTCGTTTATGACTACTAAGAGCGAAGTAAAGTAGGGTAAAGTAAAGTAAAGTAAAATCGTAAGAACAATATTATATTGTTAAGGTCTCTTCTCCGTTGCTTGATGATGTCTAAAGCTTAGGAGGCACTTCAATATTTATATTCCGCGTCTGAGTGTTCGCGGGCTACATCTAACTAACATACAACCATGTACCTTTTTCCAATATAACTCGCAACGTCGGGTTTTCTTCCAAGGTGCGAACACCTGGAGACCCTGAAAATCATCACACCCTCTTTGATAATTATAATATGACTATTTAGAAGTCATACTGTTTCCAATAGTAATTATCCGATGGTGAGAGTCTTTTTAGACATTTGGCCCAATTCTCAAGTCGAACTGTGTTGGCTCCAATCGTCTCCCTTGTCGATGAAATGATCAGTTTCGTCTGCGGGTTGCATCTGCGAAGATAGTTGTTATTACCGACTTTCTAGGTCATCTAACTTCAACTCTTCATAACTCCATACCCAACCGATAAATCTTTTCCGGAGGACTTCCTACTTGCCTGCAGGAAGCCTTTCCATAGGGTTGGTAGATAATCCCTCGGTCGGTAACCCTTGGTTACCGTGGGTAATAGGATTCTGGTTACTGTGACCGGTTTGGAAGTCACCTCCTCGGTTGCAGTATGTACCGGAACCTAGTTGTAACACTCCTCGAACTCCATTGGGTTCGATGGTAGTATTCTCAGGAGTTCCAGACTCTTCTGGTTATCGTAGGGTGGATGTGAATGTATTGGTCTTTCATTAAGATCCTTTACTATTCATCATCATCTCTTTGCGCGAAAACGTCCCGTTACTTGTGGCCTATGCCAAAGATATCTTGTTCATGAAGCCTAGTAACCTTCTGGGTAGTTGACGGATTCACTCCGTTATACTTCCCAGACCTAGCCGAAGGTCCCCTCTTATATATCCTGCGAACAGGATCCTGTCGGATGGACGGCGGCGACGTATACAGTGTTATTTTAACACCTTCGATTCTGTGGTATAATACTCACAGGACGCAACTTAGATCGATATGTATGATGACGCGCGGGCCCCGTAAGGGGGCCGGAGGGGGGTGTTGGAGACCTGAGATTTCGATTTCGGGAGAGGTTACCCTACCTAGGGTGGTTCCTAGGTATCGGATCTCGGTATTCCTAACAGAATGATAGAGTGCTAAGAGTGGTAAAGAGGAGACATTGTAGTAGTTAAGTATTTCAATTGTTAATTATCTAAACAATAGTATGGTTGTTAATTGTTTAAACAATAGTATGAATAGAGCTAAAGTTTATGGCAATTTCTACTATTTTCATATAGGGCAAAGGATGAAAAATTGTACTAAGACATGTAGAGTTTACAGGTAAAACATCATACTCATTGCTAATCTCAAACATACTATCTATTATCATTTTATCTACATTTTGAAATAACTTAAAAAAGGTCTATCAGAATATTATTAAAATTGAAGTGACAGGAGAGAATGACCAAATCTGATACTCTATGATGTTTAATTATGTGAGAGTACATATCCTGATATCTTATAAGGTCGCAGGTAGCATTTCTGAAACTGATTAGTATAATATTACAATGTTGATTTAAGACTTACTGCTGGTTTTCTTGGCATTTTTTAACTTGGCATCATGTGAATGTCTTGGCATGTTGGGTCACATGATTGCTCTTTTTGGACAACATTTTTTTATATATTAGATATCTACTTAAAATAATATTCTCAAAATATTTCTTTATCCAATTCCTATGCTCCACTACTCAAACTAAACTCTTTACTGCATAGTCACTCTTCAAGATAGCTCTCTACCTTTTGATATTTATAGAAGTTAAAGATTACTTTATTATTTTAACAAAGACTGTTAAGACAATATCATTATACAATTTTGTTAGAGTCAGGCAGTATTCCTTCTTAGACTCTCTAGTAAGATAACACTGTATGCAACTATCAAGGACTTTTGGTCTCTCAGGAGTGGGGAGGATTCTTTCTATACCCCTCTTTTGATTTATGAGATAAAAGTTTCTGAGACCGACAAGAGGATGATTTAATTACTTCCAATATAGGAATAAGAAAATTTTGCCCTTTCTCAAAGTCACATAAGTGCTGGATAGTATAAATTGACAAAGTGGAGAGTGATCTAATGAGGATATTGTGGGATTGAAAGCAATTTACATTGTATTCAAGCGACCGTACTTTAACATCTGTCCTATGATAGTACTTTACCTTGTATTGATAGTTTCAACTTATCCTGTCTGGCTAACTGATGGGTATGTTATGACAGATATTTTACTTGTTCTGCTAGCTTTTTTTTCTTTTCTTTTTTCTTTTCTTTTTTAACAATTATAGCAGAATGTTTTATTTTTCTTTCAGCTTGTGATGAATGAAATTAGATTGCCGGGAGTAACTGCTGTAAGGTGAATAGAGAGGGGGGATATATGACAGCACCTGCGTTTGGTCCAGTGGCGATATTGCTGCGTTCGTTCATTCACGGGTTCACTCATCCACCACTGAGCGTCCCCTCCTGCCTGCCACAACTCCATATAAAATATTTAAAGCAGCAATGACAATAATAGCAATTAAAGAACAACCCGATCACCCGCATCTCACAAGGCGTGCTCCCCCAAGTTAAGGTGAATTGTGCTAAGGCAATCGACAATACTAAAAGTGCCGTGGTAATGTAGTACAGTATGAATCGAGAAAACGGAAATCCCGTACATGGCGTTTCCCGAATAAACTATAGGGAACAGGGGAGAAACATAGTAGCGATGAAAGGGAAATAAACGAAAGGCAAAGGGAAGCAAAACTGAAATGTAGTATGCAGTATCAAACATAATACGCAATACTCAGTCCCTCCACGTTAAATTTGAACAATGCCGGGGTAGATAGAATTAGAGCTTCTTGAGCCGCTCCTTGATCTGTGTGATCTCGGTGTCCTCTTCGTCCTTCAGTAGGTTCTTCTTCAGCCAGTCATTCGCGAACATGCGGTGAGGATCAACGGTGTTCCTGAGCTCTACCCAGTCCTTCATCTTGGGATACATGCCCCAGAATTCCTCCTTGGACGTGGATATAAAATTCTTCGCCCAGTGAGGCCTCCCACCAAGGTCTTTCATCAGCCATTCAAAAGCATTGTAGTACCGCTCCCACTCTGGTGGGTTCCTGAGGAACGGCCGGTACAGCGTGGCATTCAGGTAGAGCGTTGGGCCTGTCTGACAGCTCTGATCGAGCCAAGGCTTTTTAGCCTGCAGGGTGGTGTCGGCGACCCGGACCTCAATTGGTGCGTGCACGTATATTCCTTTCGGGGAGAACGGGATGCCGCTTTTGTCGCCCTTATCCCCATCTAGCCATGTCTGCAGGCGTTGAATTGCTTCTGGCCCTTTTTCTAAAGGAATTGCCCACTATTGGGGTTTCAGAGCATAGTCAGATATGCGCTTACATAAGAGTTTTAGACATTTGCTAAGATTGGGGAGGTGAGGGGGACGGCAAAGGCCTCATAAGAGTCAGAGGTCTTCCAGAAACATCTGGCAGAGCTGTTGGGGTTACGTAGCAGCGCTAACCTCCAGTTCTTGCTCCCATACTTGTTACCCTTCTTCAAGCGGGTTCTCGTTGGGGGGGGGTTAGAATTGGAGCGTTGAGAGGAGGCAAGAAAATATCCCATATTCACCTCATTAACAAGTTGTGGAAATAAACAGTCCATTGTAAGTGCCTCATGGCTTTTCTGGACAGCTGAACCACTCGGTCCTACCTCCCATCTATACTGCAGAGAAAAGACGTATCTCTCTACAATGGGGGTCAACCATGGGAGCCAAGTGGAGAAGTAAAGTGCAAGTTCGTATGAAAACCGCCCTAACCCTCCACCGTACCAGCTATGCGGCCGCTCGCGTAATGGTTCCTCTGTCTTGTCAGCCGACCAAAGGATCGACCGTCCAGAGTAAGGAAACCACCACACCCTTATAAATTCTGACCTGGTCCACAGATCCGTTTTCCAAGCATCCAAGATTTGGGGAGTCATTACAACCTCTTGTTTCCAAGCCAAGTTGAAAGCTGGCACAGCTTGGAAAACTATATGTGTAATGATTCCCAATCCACCAAGTGAAACCAGTGCGGCGTGATAGAGATCCTCGTTTTCTGTCGCGCTACACCTTAAGGATTCACCACTCGAGAGCATTATCGTAAGGCTAACAATGGCTTGCGATAGGGTGCCATGCCTCAAGCTTGAGCCGTGGGTATTAGTGGCAATAGCTCCCGCAATGGATTGTGCTGTTATGCTACCAAGATTTGGCATAGCCCATCCTCGCTTTTCTAACTCGTCCGCAAGCTGATGGAGCCTAATTCCAGCCTCGACCTCGAGCTGTAGCTCACGGCAATTTTCGAAGACGACCGAATTAAACCCGTCTAGATTCACCATCCAGGATGACGTGCAGGTGAGATCATTTGGCGAGTGACCCGAGCCCACCACAACGATCGTCTTTCCGCATTGCCGAGCAAGATTAACAATCAAACGAATCTCTTTCTCTGACTGGGGCCGCAAGAACAGTTCCGGATTTGAAAAATGTGTTTTTGCCCATGTGCGGTGTTTGTGACTGACCGAGGCTCTGAATGGAATATGCGTACCAGTGTCGGCGTCCCAAGAAAGTGTTGAAATTGCATCACCGGTATATTTCCGAAATCCCTTATGTGCTTCAGGGTCCATATCGGGAGGGGAAGAGGTTGTGGGGGGCGGGGTTAAGTGAGTCTCGGAGGGGTAATCTGCAGCAAGGCTGGAGGTGAGCACGAGGGGCAATTCAAGGGATTCAAGTGAAACACGAGGGTGTACAATAGTTACGATGGACCCTAAGACTGAAGAGTACGCTGGATATAAGGCCGATATGGGGAGGAGGGGTGGTGAGGTGGTGAGGAAGGAAGTAGCGGGCGAGGTAAGCGGGAAGGTAGGATAGATAAAAATATGTAATTACGAAACACTATAGCGAACAGTAAGAGGCAGTAAGGAGGAAGATGGATAATTTACGGGCGAAGATCTAAAGGAGGGAAAGGGAGGGAAAAGATGACGAAGAGAGTGCCATTTGAACAACAGAATTCTGTGTTCCCTTGCCATACCCCTCCTCAACTATTATCCGGTAATGGGAGAGCGTCACACCTGACAGGGTGAAGCAAGCACAACCTGCATTGTAGCCTCGAAGATGAGGCGTGCCACTAGGACATCTACTAAGTACGTCCGGGGGAGTGGGCGGTGTGTGAAGCCCGGATCAGGTCCAATTGCTTTCAAGGCGAGCAACGGTGGTGGGAGGACAGTCACTGGACTAAGCTTAGAGAGCAATAGCAGCTGGGCTGGCAAGAAAAAGTAACTGCAGGATAAACAATCTACTCGTAAGTGCCTTGCATCGTGGTGCGGGTGACCGCCACTCGGGCTCGAAAGGAGGGGTGGAAGGGTGGAGGTGTGGAGGTGAGGTGAGAAGGGGGGGGGGGTAAGAGTAGCGAATGGGGAGGCGAAAAGAGGCAGAGAAAAAAGAAGCCGAGTTAGCCATAGAGTACCGGTATTGATATCAACTCTGGCCGGACGCCAGAGGGGCCGATAAGGGTGGAAAGGCGTAGAGCGTAGAACCGAGTTAGGCGTTCTCTCATTAAATTTAATCATTCATGGTCGAGGACAATTGGAATTATCAATAAAATTTAAGCTGAAGGATTCATGCGGCACTTGAAGAAGAGGATTAATCGGGCACGATACCCCTATAGTTTTTCGGGGATTTCACGACCGGCTCCTTTACGCCACTTCCCCGCAGAAAGCCACGTGACAAGCATCAGCCGAAATGGTGAGATGCCTGGAATGATAATATTATGATACAAAATCAATTTTTGATGGCCAATGGCCCAAGGGCACAAAAGTGCTCCCCACCTTGTAGATGCCCCTCACCACCTCCGGTCCATATCGGTAAATTGCTACGGCAAGCTGAATTGAAGCGCAACTATGATACTCGTATATGATAGAAAGTATCCGAAAATGAGACGGTTTTTTTTTCTCTCCCTGGTTAGGCGGTTGTGCAACTGTGGCGGTATTTTCAGATACTGTACCGGTACTAGTACAGTACTCGTACTTATGATACCGGTATTGCTAGATACAAGTAAGTTACAGCTCAAACCCCCAGAGGTGACATCCCCCCAACGATACAGTATCCACCATACTTCACCGCTTCCATCGCAACCCCTAAATCGATTCTCGATCGACGGAAAAAAGGACTAACAACTCGCGGGGCTTGCGTCGTTCCCGTGTGACCGTGAGCGAAGTGTTTTTCAAAGAAAAGGAAAATGAAAATGAAAAAGAAAGGAAGAAGAAAAGAAAGAAAGAAGAAAGAAGAAAAAAAGTCATGACGACTACATAAGCCATCGTCAAAATTTAATGTTTTGCGCGTGTCTCGGAAAAGCGTAGAAAACATATCGACCAAAGAGAAGTTGAGAGATTTTCAACCGGTGTAGCTTGTCGTTTTTTTGGGAAGTACAGTACAGGAGATATCAAGTTAGTGCGACCTGTACCTAGACCGTTTGGTTTCTCGCTGGCGGGGCAGATACTGGTAATCAGTTCAACCCGCAGGAGATAGAGACAGATGTACAGTACCGGTAACTTAAGTGCTCTACTCGAGTACTCGTACAGTACGAGTACCCGTGGACACAATACCGGTAGAATCCGATGAGCGAAAGAAATATGCATCTCACCCCGTCATAACTGATTGGGGCTTGTGCGATTGTATCCAGTAAGAAAAAGCGGATCTTGGAAGGGAAGAGGAGCTTTCCGGGATGGACCCCACGATAGTGGTTAATCATAAAACTGGTTAAAGCAGGAAAAATCCCCCAAGCACATGATTTGAGTGGGGCTGAAAAGGAAAAGGTAAGGAAGGAAGCACGGCAAAATGTCACCCACACCGCCCGCCGTCTTGTTTCCACCAAGAGCCGCCGTCCAACAACTTCATAACCCCGCCAAGTCGGCAGAAGCCTTATTGGATGGCATCACTAGCCGCGGTTTTTACTCGAGTACCTGCTCCAAAAAAAAACCCTGCATCCCATAGCTTAGGTGCCCTGCTCTAACTGCCGTGCGTGGAAACCATGCTCGACATAAAATTTACGGAAAACTCTCAGAATACCCCCTCGGGAAGCGACAAGGGCCTAATATGCCCCACCCAAACCAAAATACCCCTGAAGACAAGCAACTTTGACATTAGTTTTCTGTTTTCTCCCTTCTTCCTCCCGAGTAAACAATTGCCGGTTGTCAAAACAAACAATGGACGTAAACCAATAAAGACTTAGAAGAAATAGGTATAAATAATGCAGAGTAGGGGAAGGAAGAATAAAAAAATTAGAAATCATATCTGAAAACATCAGCAATACCACCAGTTGAAAAAGGTCAGCAATTCCCCTTGTTTAAGGAATTCAAAGAGGCTGTGGGTGAATGGTCTACTGAGGAAAAGTTTATGGCAAGAGTAAATGAGAGCGATTTCACTCGAGTAGTATATTGTTGTACAATTAGTGAGTGCAGTTATAGCATACGTGGATTTCTTAAAAAGAAGGAAAAATGTGTAGAGGTAGGACTTACTAATCCAGTACACCTATGCTATAGGGCTGGAGATATTCTACGCAAGGAAAGTAGTCAGCAAAGGTGGCTGCTGCATATTCTTCCATCTACACTCACAATTGACAATAAGACAACACTGAAGATGATTGTACAAGCAGTACTCCACCAGAATCAAGAGTGAATTACTACAGCAGCAGCATCGAAGGCGAAGCAACAAATCTTAGGTTACAGTCTACAGCATCACCCATGTTAGGAATACCGAGATCTGATACCCAGGATTCACTCTAAGTAGGGTAACCTCACCCAGAATTGGAAATCTCTGCTCTCCAACACCCCCTCTGGCCTTCTTATAGGGCCCGCACGTCATTATACATATCAATCTCAGTTGCATCCTGTAACTATAATACTACAAAAATAAAGGTGTCAGAATAACACCATATATGTCGCCACCGTCTGTCCGACCAGATCCTGTTCGCAGGATATATGAGAAAAAACCTTCAGCTAGGTCTTAGAAGTAGAACAGAGTAAATCCGTCGACCACTCAGAATGTTACTAGGCTTCAAAGATGTGATACCTTTGGCATAGTCCATAAGTAACGGACGTTTCCGCATAAAGAAATGGTATTGAATGGTAAAGGATCTCAACAAGAGACCAATACATTCACACCTACCCTACAATATCTAGAAGAGTCTAGAACTCCGAGAAACACTACTATAAAAGTTATTAGACTTCATAGAGTGTTGCAACCAGGTTTTGAAACACGTTGTAGTTACGAGAACAACTTCCCATACTACAATAGTGATTGAAATCCTGTTACCCAAAGCAACCAAGGGTTGCCGACCAAGGGAATAATTGTTAATCCGGTAGAATAGCTTTCTGCAAATTAGTAGAAAGCCTTCTGAAAGATATTTATTGGTTAGGTAAGGAGTTATAGAGGTTTAAAGTCAGGCGACCAAAAAAGTGTTGCGATTATGACTACTTTCACAGATACAACCCGTAGATGAAACTGATCATTTCATCAATAATGCAGACAATTGGAGCCAACTCAGTTCAACTTAACAACTAGGCCACAAGTCTAAAGACTCTACAGATCGGATAACTACTATTGGGAACAGTATAGTTCTGAGTTAGTTATATCATAATTAGCAAAGAGGATGTGGTGATTGTTAGGGTCTTCACGTGTTCACACCTTTCAAGAATATCCGACATTGCGAGTTATAATCAGAAAGGTACATAGTGGCATGATAAATAGATGTAGTCTGTGAACACTCAGACACGGAATATAAATATTGAAGTACCTCCCAAGCTTTAAACATCATCAAGCAATGGAGAAGAAACCTTAATAATGTAATATTGTTTTTACAATTCTATTTCACTTTACCAAATTTACTTCGCTCCTAGTAGTCATAAATCAAAAGAGTGAATCTGAGCCTTTCTAGACAATCTCCATCTACAAAATCAAATTTCGATTAGCCTAGACAATTCTGAAGTCTATCAGATTGTCTCCCCCTAACAACGTATCACAATACAAAATGCTACTAGCCTATGCCTCTTTTCTTATCCAAATGAATCCAGGAACCTATATTAAGTTAGCAGTTGACAGAATTACTGAGAGGTTCCAAAGGATTTTCATATGTCCTCCAACTAGTCTGAAGTCCTTTGTACATTGTCAGTCATTTATTGCTGTGGATGGTACCTTTACTAAGACCCAATTTATCCAAACCTTATTATTGACTGTTGGGATCAATGCAGACAATCATGTGGTATTATTGGCCTGGGGACTTGTCGAGAGTGAAACGGAAAACTCATGGTGATTTTTCCTTACCAACCTCAAGTCTGCCATGCCTATAGTCAATTCCTCTCATGTTACTTTAATGAGTGACTAAGATAAAGAACTAGCAGCTACCACTACTGAACTTCCAGAGACAAAGTACATACACTGTATTCAGCATTTAGTCGAGAACATAAATAAAACCTACAGAAAAGAAGCCAGAGATCTCTTTCGAGCTATTGCATGCTCATTAACCCAGAATAAGTATGAGACAAATCTGCAACAACTCTATGAGCATAGTGTCCCGACAGCTCAGTATGTTAGGTCTCTAGATTGGGCAAAATATTGTTCACCATTTTTTCCCAGTAGAACCTACAGACATCTTACCTCTAATATTGTCGAACCAGCCAACAATGGTCTTCTTGATGAGCGAGCTCTTCCTTGTCTCAAGCTCCTGGACACTATCTGGTATAAGCTAATGCACCTTTGCTTCAAATGTAATATCAATTCAAAAGTTTATCCCCAAGGATAATAGTTTACCAGTTATGGTCAAAACCTACTGTGTACTATTTTTTTCTTAACTCCTATACTTTAAAAATACTCTTAATAGCTGATTTATAAAATATAAACTCTTTAGCATTTGTAGTAGCACAAACAGTACAGAGGTCAAATAACATACTAG